GAGCACGCACCCTGTGCGAGACCAGGCCAACATACTAACACATCAGGATGAGTCACGCATTGTGGATGTAAACTTCGGTCTCACGTGGTGCAGTCATGATAGCCTGCATGTCAAACATAAGGGTGATTCACGGACCAGTTGCAAGCATACTGCACATAATGGGAGTAGTGTTGGTCATCCTTTGGTTAACTTTCAAGATAGAATTTGTGTGAACTTGGTGATTGGGTGAACTCGTCACTTGTGAACGTCTGAAAGATTCCGTTAATGTATCCGTTACAGTTACATTTTAAACTGATTCAACGGATCATTCACGTTGTCAAGCCTAACTGCACTTGCTCGACAGTTGAACGCGGACACTACCAGTATAATTGTGCAACAGCTTAAGTTAAACAGTTTGCACACCCTCCCTAATCATGAATTGTGGGTAAGTTACTGTGATAAGCCAAATCAACACTCTGTCGTTTGTTTAAAAAGCTGACGAATAATGCCATGTACAAAGATGAATATTTATTATTATTATTATTATTATTACAGAATATCGATTGAATTTCGCCAATGTATGCATGGAGCTCCAACCAGTTACTGTAACCAGTTCTGTCTAGCGCTTTCAAACAATCCAGATCCATTTATCTCGCTGCTGGTAAGGACACTACGTTATACGCACAGTCACCTGGAAGGTGTATTGTTGGGTGCACGTTGCGGTTTACTGATTGCTTGTTCCTGAATGATGCTCCGAGTTGGACCCAAAAATAACAATGTTAGTGGACCACTCCTATGATTATCGATATCGTGCTACCTAAATGTAGAAGAGGGATAATCGTCAATGATTAGATTTAGTTTGGTGATCTTCTTGACGGCGCTCTGTTCTATATGTGTCTCCATCATACGACAGCGAAGTCAAAGCGTTAGGGATGTCTGACACGCATTTCGCCTGAGTTTACGGAGGTCGGTGGTGAGAAGTCGCTGATCACCAATTAGGCTATTGTGGAAAAATTGCTCATGCGTACCGTGGTACACGCCCCTACTATATTCCCCTCATATGCGCATCGCCCAATTAGTTCAATCCTAGTAAGCATTCATTCTGGTTGTTTGTGGTGGCAGTAGCAATACTGTTCGATAACGGATGCAATCAATTGCTGACATTTTTAGTGCAGATTATTAATGCAGTCTTCGCATGCTAATAAGCTTTGTGCAACTTTACTTGTAAAGGTATTTCTTAACAAAATATAGGATATATTTTAGGCCTTTTATCTGAATTATGTTGATATTTTGTGCTTCGATAATGCTTATTTCAAATACTAACCTCGAGAGGCTAACTGGACCTGACGGCTTAAGTCACTCCTGTTCTTGCGGATTTGTCTTCTGTCCAACTGCGTACATCACGGACCGTTTTACTGGAGCTAGGAACGTGGGAGCAGCGGATAGAGAGATGATTAAAATATTGTTCTACACATGTGATCAAAATGCTGATTCTCTTAACCGTAACGGAGATGGATACATACACATCTAAAGGCCAGAAAGAAATATACAACAATGATGACACGTCCCAACAAACAACGTTATTTGCATGTCTTCGAAAAACACACCAAACTGCGAGGGAGTGAGGAAATCGTTTGGTCAAAACCAAAGCTACAACTGTAACGCCAACTATAAACGAAAATCTCTACTCTGACTCATGCTATTCTGATCAGCTCCGTGTTTATTCTATTGTTTAGAAGCCCTAATTCGAGCATTATCAGAAAAATACCCAAAACAATTCACTTTCAGTGGCTAGAGCATCCTGCCACAGAAGGTTTAGCACTGATTGGGTTATTTTGAATTACTCGTTTTGTGAATGGGTTGCGACGCGCAATCCCAATGCGTACCTTTATTCACATTGAAGTAAACTTTGGTCATTCGATCTAAAGGACCATAGATGAACCAGACAGGAATTGGGTGTGGCCGCCCCAAAGACAACGCACACTACAACGCGTTTCGACCTTATTGGATTCCGTCAAGTAGAGATGGCAAGTGGGTTCGAGGCCTGTTATCTGTACCTGATGAAATCAAATAATGCCGAAACGCATCGTGTAGCGCAAGTTTAGCTCTGCACCAGCTAGTTCTCCCACAAAAAGTAACAGTTGCATCCAGTGGATGTTTCACACATATTGCCTAGATGTTTCGTTATTATGTTACTTTCTGACTAACAAGTATTCAGATTTAGTGATTAGACCCAAGGTTCATATTATTGCTGGGTACTTGCGAAGAATAACGGGCGTTATTTGGCATATGTAAAATTGGTTAAGCTACTAATACCGTACATTTTAGGTAGCCACAGTTTCCTTTGAATACTACCAAGGAATTTAGCACCTGTTCTTGCGTGAGGTAAAACACTATGTTGACGCTTTTGGTTGTTCTACTTTCAAAATTATCCAGAACAGTGTGATTGTATTTTCTTCATGGCTATCATGCTTGATTTGTTCATTCAACATTAAGGGTGGATATAAGGTTTAGGTATTTGAGGGGTTGCAAAGGTGTACCCATCAGAAAGCATATACCAAGAGTCAGCAACATTGACGTTAAGCTTTTATTGACATTATTGTTTGTAATAATCTACATTATTCCGAATAATTGCACAAACTCAGTTTTAAACCCAGAACTTTGCGTGGATGTTCACTGAAGTTGAAACACCGAGTGCTCTGACATGATACGGCAAGTACTGCCCACATGTCTACATCGGACTAAATAGGATTTCCGGTCGAGCTCTAGAGTAATGGAGCCGCTGCTAATCAGCATTCACTTTAATCCGTTACAAGATCTTGAGCTGATTAGCAAACGACTATATGCACGGGTCCAACAAAACATACCGAGAACAGACCTTGTATCAGTCCCGAACTCTGGAGTACTCCTGGGTGGACTGGGTTTGGGACAGCCAGCTTCCAAATGTAACTGAAAATAACAGCTGATGCAGGAAGTTGATAACGCAGCTCAAGAAAGGATTGTATATACCGTAATTCGAATGCTTGGAAGTAGAGCACGGTGCTTAACCTACACGAATTGTCTCGAGAGATTCAGTTACAGTACGTCTTTCTTACTTATATACCGTTCCTTTAGTGCGGAGTGTTGAATTGTGTGTGAACCATGTAAGTGGACTATATGTCTCTCCGAATCTCTACTGCGTCTTAAGTCTCCATACATTTTATCTGTTCACTAAAACTGCACCTATAACTGCGATACCGGCGAAATGATGGCGCATACATTTTGTCACCTGGATCATCATGTTCAGTAAATGTTTGGGAAAAAAGGATATTCTGTCTGGTGTACAACCTTGTTGTTATTTGTCCGAGCAACAAAAAGTAAACACTTATATCTTGATTTGCTCACCTTCTGTTACTTGCTACCGCAGTAGGCTGGCGAAGCTTCGGGATTTTTGTATACGGCCTTGCCGGCGAAACAACAAATCATACTATGGGTCTCAGTTGTCTGCCTTGTAAGTGAAGCATCTCAGCCACTCGCGTTGCATGCAACAAAATCAATTGTTCACCCTTTTTGTGAGTTTACAAAGAAACTTCCTCCATAGAGTAGGGAAGGAGTAAGCACCTGTTTGCGTCACTCCGGAAGGAAATTGACCCGTTCTTTGTGGAATTGATCATCCTAGATCTAGCCCACCGACTACCACCGCGAAAGTCACCAACGAAAACAAATTCGCGTGTTTGACCTAATACACGGAAGAGCACAGTGAAGTCGGAAGTGTACGCGTGCATCACGTCTTCATAGATGGCATCTCTGGAGCACAAATGCTGAGGGTTTTAAACGCAAAAAATGCCATTTAAGAGCTACCACAGCGTGCTGATGGGATTCCTATAACAATGGTACACTGATAACACAGAAATAGGTGTTGTGCTTAGTAACGACGTGTGGAATTTCCTACATGAACACAATGACACGTACTTCTCGGTTTGACACAATTGTAGCCTATATCTTGTTTATGAACAGCTCCGACCCCGGTGTCTTGGAGGTTGCAACAGCTACACTGGTCTTATATTTTTGGTTTCCAAACACCCGCTATGTCACTGGATTGCAACGCACAGATTCAAATTCTGACATTCCGGCATTTGGACAGCACCGATGTTACTCTCTCGCACCAGTTCACACAATGGCTGGGTTAGTCTATGCTTGAACTCTTGAGTTGTAGATTGCAATGGTTGGAAGTGGACTACGGCACACAATGGTTCAACGTTAGCGCCGCGGACACAATGTCATCGAACTCCACCGGCAGAGGTGGTCACTGACGCGGTTCTAAATTTGTCTACCTACATGTATCATGTCCGAACAAGGACGTGCTCAGTTCCCAAAGTGCTAAAACAAAACTTTACTCGGTAACGATAACGAGGTAAAATAATGTTCATTACTTTGCTGTGCTCCATAACGATAGTTTTTTAAGAACGGGTCGCCTGATCTCCAAAATCCATTTACCTAAGGCGATCCCTAAACAGGCCAAAAACTCGGTTTGGATTGATAACAACCAGTTGAGAGCACATATGACCAAAATGCTCATTCCTAGTTTGTTTGGGGAAAACACGCATTATGTAACCAAGTGAGCATCGCTCTTATTAACACGGAAACTCGTATCCCGTTAACCAAACTCGGTTAACAGCCAGTCGTTTAGATCTGGACGAATTTGTGATAGAGTTCGTTCTTAATATTGCTGCGCAAACCTCTGCGACTTTACGAGAGCTAATTAAACTGCATAACGCTTTACGCATAGGCAACATATTGCAAATTTTTAAATCGCTTAGCGGTCACAGTGCTTTTCTCGATAAGCTCCTTTGAAAGAATTACTGTCACGGAATACCGTCGAAAGACCTGACATATTACTGATTGCCAGACTTTAAACTCCGAAATCCGTTTATCGTGTTGCTCAGCGCTTAGTTGCATCGAACCTTCCACTATGTTTCGTCATTCAGTATCACATGCTTAACTAGTAAAAAATCTTTTACTTACCATTATCCGTCAAACAGGAAACAGCCAACTTCAAAACTCTTGGAGCAGCGCATCTGACATGAACTGCGTGGTTTATCAATCAAATCGCGTGTCCCTTAACCGTCATCCGCCAGTCGAGTACTACAGAAATCACCCGCAGTCAGACCGGGTGAAACGCGTTCGAATACGTTTTGGGTTATGTGATCAGAAAAATGCAAACACTGTGGATTCGAACAGCTCCATGAAAATACGCAACGGCAAATTTCTGTGGCTGCAACGACTTTGTGGATGTGTTCGCTCTCCTCGAGATCGCAAAAGGAGGCATTTCTGATACTCATTTTGTAGTTGTTAATATCTTATTCGAGTGTACAGCAAAAGGTGAGCAGTAAGAAACAATTCCCTCTATTTTTGATGTAGTGGATTGGACCTATTAAATCACATAATTTCAGTATATTCTCAAGGAGCCCTGTCAAAGAGTTTGGAACATTTGCTCAACCAACATAACAAGAAAACACAGGACACAAATCATCTAAGCCAGTTTCAGCTATTTTCTTAACTTTTCGCTCTTCTTTCGATGATCAAAGAGAGAAACACATACAGGTCTCTCTCCCTTTCGTTCCCTGGCTGATTTTTCACCAAGGCTTAGATGGAGCACATACACGCATCAGACTTGTTGAACATCAGGCTGAAGTCACTTGTACAATACATACTAAATTACCTGCATGCTTTTCAATGGCGTTTCATGTTTCTTTGCAATCGCGGCCTTCACCTCGGTGGTTGTGGTGAATGTCAGCGTTCTAGCAATGCGTATCCTCTCGGATCCCTATTCGTTGGTTTTTCATGTATCGTGATACAAATTTTCAACCCATCATACATAAGCTTCATCTTACGTATAGGGAAACTCATTGAGTACCTCATGTTTGCTGAGAAAACGGATAGCACCGTACCAATTTCAGGCTTCTGCAAGTCGGCAGACAGAACTACCGGATTCATACATATGAGTCATTTCAGTGGAGGCGTCTTGATACTCCAATGAGTGGACACCGCACTCCCTTGTCTAGCACCAACAAGGTTGCTTAATGACCCGTCCGGTGAACTTTAATAAAGGCTTATTCTCGACGATGCCAGGCACGCCTGTAACACCATGACTGGATAAGTGCATAATTACATAGAATGATGACTAGAAGTCGATCAGTAAAATCGCAATTCAGATAAGTTAGGGAGAGCAAAGGCACAATAAATAGTTGACTGAAACAAATTGATGTTAACTGCCCTTTAAGAACTCTCGCATATACGTTATCCTAAGACAGATAACTCACAGGAGAGAGTTTGGCGGCGAAACATATATTGGGTCATGAAAAACCTGTACCCGGCTTGTATTTGTTTTTGTAGAACAAGTAAACAGTGTGATCAAATTCTGTGCAATCAGGAACTAGTTGGTGCTTCTGCGAAATTCATGTTCGCTTGAGCAGGCACGTATTCTGGGTGTTATCTTGTACGATACTCTAGCGTAGTTGTCAAAGACAAGGTTCGCCGACATACTGAACCCGGACTTGCATTCCACCAATGAATACTGTCTAACTTCTCCACTGCACAACGGGGCGTAAAGTGGGATCACGTAGTTCGCTCTCCATTTCGTCTTAGAATGCAACCAGCTTTTACCCAACCACGAGCACCAGATTAATTGAATGTTTACACTGGTTTTCTCTATCCGAGTTTTGCACGCAAGATATAGCCTGTAGCTTACGGGGCGCATAGATAACCCAAATCATGCGCTCGGCGTCATTCGTGTCCGGATTTACTTGTGACAAGTGCAGGCATTCACAAATATGCTCTCGCAGATGGGTCATACACAGGCCTCCCTCTATTGCCGTTGGCCGCATTTTCATGCTTTATTCCTGACATAAGCCAGAGAAGGTAGATAAGAACTCGAGTTAGGACTACGATTGCGTCCGCGAATTCCAGGGTGTCCCAAAGTCCATACTCAAGTGCGGTTGGTGTAGTTCCACCGTTATGTTGATCTGGCGTGCAACGGACAACAAGGAGGTATAAAAATTAGTGAGCAATGATTCGTGCTAGCCCGGTTTACCTCAAACATGTAGCTCAAGACAAAGAAGTAAGGATGTTGTTGTTAATCATCCCATTCCTAGTTTAAATCTTGCAGTGCTGAACCGTGTAACCTAATATCATCAATAACGATCAGTTATTCATTTGAAATATTTGTCTATAAGTGGCGTCTGGCATTATGGCTCAAAACACCGGTCAAGAATCAGTTCAGGGACGAAACGGGGCCATACCATAACCTTCAGTCTGCTGTCAAGCACACGTCAACTCTACTGCTGCGATCAGGTAAAGCACATCCCACCTTAGTTCTAGCCCCGGAACAGCTATGCGGTCATACTTATGAGTCCAAAACATCAGACCTGGTCGATGATCGTCAACCATAATTTCATCTTTCCACCTACCCGTGAGTGTATCTGTAACGATAGCCACCATGACTTCAAGGAGTACTGAGCGAATAATTACCTATCGGTAGTTTAAAGACCCAGCGCGATTAACTTATTTGCAATTTGGAGACTATACTGTGCTCCCAAATGAGACATATTTGAAAAATGCGGTGACTTCAAACTAGCTTTTGGCAGGCACTTTGGAAGGGTTGTCTGCACCAAGGGAACCATGCTAGAGTAATGACATTAGTCTTGACAATATATTTGTAACAACGAAAATGACGTGCATATGCCATTGGGAGGACGTGAAATAGATGAGAACTGGGTCACACGTTGACTCAAGAAGATAGAACTTACGGGTTCTCAAATCTCTTTAATTGCTTTATGTGCGGTTTATACAAACCCACAAGTTAAGAGCAGAAATATTTCACTGAATCTTATGGGGTTTGTTAACATGCGTGGAAAAGCGTTTGGGGTTACAGCGGGACGTTTTCACTAGTTTTCTTCGGAGAACGAAACAGCGAAACTGCTGAGGGCAGTTAAACAGGGCCACCTTACTAAGGTAGTCGATATCAGTGTCCCAGTCACGAAGATTTCGAAAAATATTTGGTGTCTATCACCGTAACGACCCATGCTGTGGCCCGTGCATTGCAATATTAAAAGAGTGCTACGAACGGGCACGTTCAGGTTCATTGACCGTTGTGACAAGTGTAATTGACAGCTCGGCGGTATAGTAATAAAGGTTTCACCTTGTAAACTCTGCCTTCTGCCACCAGTTGCACATCACTGCACACATTCCAAGGGCAGAAATTGAGCAATCGGTTGTGGTTTGGGCAATACCTCAAAATGAACGTGAAAACACGAGGCAATTCGTCACGGTCTCCTGTCAGTCAGCAGGCTTTGACACGTCTGGTAAAGCCACAAACAGCGCCTTTTCTACCTTCTGGATGGCATCAGTGGTGCGCCTTCCTTGGACGCTTGCCGGGTTCCAACACCATGACTTCCGATGCCAGCAACTTGTGTCACTAAGCCATGAGTGACGGTCGCTAAGGTACGCCTTTCGCTCTGAAGGTGTGTGCGGATGTTGTTTATCTCATTAGGTAGATAAACAGACCTCATATCCAGGACCATTGGGATGTTACTTCGGATCTTTACCTGGTGAGATCGAAAGAAAACCACTTGTTCTGGCATGATAATTAACTTTAGGTTCAAATTTAATAAACAGCGCGAGTAAATTGGTTATCCTGGAAATTGCCTTTCAGTTGCCTTCGGCACAATTTCATTAATGTACATTTTATTAACGGGAGCAAACATAATTTTTCATCCTGTCGGAGTAAACCACGTGCACACATTGAGCCGAAATCTTCCTCAAGCCGCTCTCCCATCAGTTGAAAATATGGATTTCAGCTATGGGACATAATCGGTTTACCATCGTAATTATATGACGTGCGCAGGCTACAGACCAGATAACCGAGTTTAGAACTCGCCACGGGCATTTAGCGTGTGTTATTTTAGACTGATAAAATGAAGACAATATTTGCATTATTGTAGGACCACGTCTACTGTGGTGCAGTCACTATACTAAATAACACAGCAAAAGTAAAATGAACTTTTCCTGTACGATCCACCGGAGTTAGTTCCTTTTGGCTTAAAGGTTATAACAAAAGAGAGATAACGCTGAAGTTGCAAAGTGGAAGGATGGAAAGCTGTTCATTTTCTTGTGCTGAATTTCGATTACACTTCTATGTTCATAGTGCTCTTTGCACGAGGTTCCCCGAACCCTATGACGTGAACTTTTTCTAGAGAACTCGGGAAACAGACTGCGAATTGCATATGTTGACTAATCCGTTCTATGCATAGAAGGCTTGTTCATCAGACATTTATCAACTTTGGAAATCCGTCTCCTTATAACATATAATCCGCAGCCTAAAACTGTCTTTTTCTTTAGCGTTAATACGTCGAAGCAACAGTTTTTCTGCGAGTCGAGCTTCTTTCTCTTGCAGATGTTTCATAAACCAAAAATTTCACAACGACTGGTTTGTCTTAATTGAATGGACTTTGCAGCAGCGTAAGGTTCGTTTATCACAGAGGTAAACGACATACCAGATGATCCACGTTGGTCATACCTTAACGTTAGAAGACTCATAGACACATAGATGGCGAAACAGTTTTTACCCAACTACTTTGTCAAAGTCGATATTCAAGTAAGACAAATTTCTAGGTGCTAATTTAAATGGATTTTTTCATCCCCGTTAGGAAGACACTTTTGGAAGAACAATCTCTCGGGACGAATTATGTTAACTAGTGCACCAGACAAAGTGTTATAAGATAGATTGAGCAAATTCACCCGCAAAACTGCGAGCAGTTAGTCTAGCACCAGGTGAAGCAATTCATTAGACTTTAATGTTACCGATGTTGGCACTGACAGATAAGTAGGATTTATGCTATCGTAGTTCAAACTTCTGAAAATAGTCACTATAGGAGCGCGCTGTCACATAGCCTACGACGAACATAACGCAACTCCGCTAGTACTAGATATTTTTTCAGATATAATATTTACAGAATCGTGAGCATCACTAAGAATCAAGAAGGATCTTGTAAACTGATTTGTTCTCTTAGAATTCTTCTACATCGCACAGTAGCGTTACTTTTAAACGTGCGAAGCAAATAATGCAAATGTGCGATAGTGGAAATCCTTCGGTAATATCGAAAGAGTGACACCCGCTCGCACAAGCTGACCACCGAATAATTGGAAAGGGTCACTTGCATCTTTGCCTGCTTTTTAGCACAAGTGAATGATAGTTCGGAAGCATTGTACTCAGTGTACCCTACCCAACATTTAACTTTTACTGCTTGATGGTCAGTCGCTTTATTGGTATGACCAACCTACATCTCCACTTCAAGAACGGTCTGGTATGCACATATTCACAGACGCTGATGTGTGTCTTTGACTAGTTGGAAGTGCGTACGGATAAAGCCTATCCAAACCTACCACCAGAACTTCCGATTATTTCTATGCAAACCACGAGCCCTACAAACTAGACCATGATTTTCTGTTCCATCAGCGGAATGGCTTGCACTTTCGCCTCTGGCAACCTTTTACCTTTGTTTTTTTACACCAAGCCATAAAAGGATCAAGGGCATGATAACCTACACTTGCGATATTTTAAACTCCCAATGTGTTTCTACTCCCCGAACCCTCAGTTTTCCACGTTTAAGGAAATATACTAAAGCGAATCTACAAGAAGCGTAACAGTTCTAACAAAAATAATCGCGTTGGATGTAGGGTCGCTCTAGGGAAGTAACACTTGCTGCAATCACATATCCCAACAATTGTGAGCAAAATGGACGAGATTCAGAGCATAATCTGCTAGCGTAAATACTCGAAGCAACGTGTAATTATACTTCGAACTTTTGGCTTCG